AGGGAAGAGGTGGTTATGGATGGGTGAGAGACAGCTCTTCGCCCCTGCCTGCTCACAAGCTGCCTCCTCCTCCTCCTCCTCCATTCCCTTGCAGCACAGCCCGGCAAGCGTCACACGCTCCCTCCTGCTGTGTCGCCCACTAAGATCTGAACTGTGATGCTCTCAACCAGGGATTTTCTTCACCCAGTTCCTGTAAAACCTCCAGGGCCATTTTTCCCTCCCACCATGGCCGAGCTCCTCATCTTTCCACATGAGGGATCGATCTGGAAAGTCCTGCGCGGGGCAGGAAGCCCGGGGACCGGAGGCCACCGAAAGGCAGCCCCATGGAGACAGGTTTTTCCTGCCGTGATGTCACCTCCAATCTGCACACTCAGCCGCCCGGGCCGGGCTGGGAACCGGCACCCGCCTCCTACACACAGCGCCGGCAGCGGAAACAAAAGTTGCGTGCGGCGGAGCGGCGCGGGCCGGCACCGCTGGGAACCGGGGCACTCGCGGCCCACGCAGGCCCCGCGGGGCGCCCCGAAACCGATGCGCCTCCGATAACCGGCGAGGCACGCAGCCAGCCGGTGATTCACCCCTTCCAGCGCTGCTGCGGGCCCACCGGCAGAGGCGAGGCCGGTGGAGGCGGCGGTGGCGGCAGCCGAGGGGGCCGCAATCAGCACCGGACGACCCCGAGGTGGGGATCGAGCAGCCGCGTAGCCCCCTCCTCGCACCGGTCCGCGGCTCCCAGCACCGCACACCCTCCCCTTCCCCGCTCCCCGGTACCTTTCCCAGCAGGCGGCCCTTGCAGTAAGAGCGGCCGGAGATGGGGTCGGTGATGATGCGGGTGGTCTCGGCGGCGCGGGGCGGGGGTACCGGGGTGTGAGCGGGCGGTGGCGGGGGGCAGACGGCGGGGAAAGGGGGAAACAGGCCGGCGGGCTCCATGGCTGAGGCTGCTCCACCGCCAGCACCGGAACCCGCACACGTGGCCCCACCACCCCGCGCTACCACTGCTTCTGCCGCCGCCGCGGGAATCCCGCCGGTTTTATCAATGGGCGCGCTGACGTCACCCGCCGGAGCTCCGCCCCCGGGCGGCCCCGCTCGGCTCTTAAAGCGGCCGCAGCACGGAAAATGAGGAGCTGCGACCTGAGTTTTATGTGCCCATTGGGACCCTTTTGCCAGCCGTGAGCCGCGGGGGGGGAACCCAGCCACGGCCCTGCTGTCTCCACTGTACAGAGTCCCCCCCTACACCCAGAGCACCTCAGTGGATGCGTGCCTCTCCTAGATACAGAGACCCCCACAGACAATCAGCCCCTCCTTGACACAGGGATCCCCTACAGACACACCAAGACCCCTCCTCAGCTCCCTCCCCTCTCTCCCAGGACACGCAGAGTCCCCTCCGCACACACGTCTGTAAATACACACTCACAGGACATCTCCCCTCACAGGGATGGTCAGCCTGTGTCACACAAACCCCTGCGGACCCCACAGTTACACCCCCCAGAAAGGCAAAATCCAGGGTAGGATGCAAAGCCCACCGTGTTCACTGTGGGCCCAGCCCCTCACCCCAACAAACCTGAATGCAGGTGGAACCTTTCACTCTGTGCCAAGGGCTGAAGAGAGGGGTCACAGTCCACCCCAGGTGGGGTGCTGGGGACACAGGGGACAGTGGAAGGTGCAGGTGAGCTCCCAGCCAGGCTGTCCCATGGTCAGGTGGCCCTTGGCCACACTTTGCCCTGGCTCTAGCCCAGCTCCAGCAGTCCTCAAAGAACCCTGAAGGATCGGTTCCCCATAGCTGCCAGTCCAAGACTGGGAACCTGCAGGACTGTTCCAGTAGGGACCTCCATCCTGGCTCCTCAGTGCCTGGGCGCTGAGTCCTGGTGGCTCTGGTGTTGAGGGGTGGCCTGGCTGGGCTGGCCAAGGTAATGATGGTGCCTGGGCAGTGTGCCATAGCGGTGCTGCTCTCTCATGGCCATAAGCAGCAGGACAAGCCTGTGTCACCTGAAACAGGTCATGGCAGGATGCGGATCATCTCTCCCCAAGGTGGCTGCAAACCCACAGCCCCCCATGAGCCTGGAGCAGCAGCATTGCAAAAGCCCTTCAAAAGCAGATCCCGCTGCTCATACTCCCACACGGTGACTGTGAGCAAATCCCTTGCTCTGTGCCTCAGTTTCCCCCAGTGCAGCTCAAGGCTCTTGTCACTGATGCTCAAAGTGCTCCTGAATATGCAGAGAGTTTTGCATGAACACCCATGGCCAAACAGCCCCGTTCTCCACAGCACATCCCACTATAGCGCAGAGGAATGAGCCCCCTATTTTGCTCTGCAGAAAAGCTGAGCAAACCTGCAAGACACAGCGGAAACAACCCAGATCTGTCTGCTTTTCTCCTCGGGTTTCCAGCTCTTGCAGGGGAAGCACCTGCAAACCCACCACCCGGCAGCGAACACGGCTCGGGCAGGGGCTGCTGCTCCCTGGGGAAAGCTGCCGGTTTCCACCCGGGACCCAGGGCTCCCGGGGCACAGGCAGCGTCATGGGGCAGCGTTGGCTTTCCGACGGAGGAGCAAACTGGGCGGAGCTGAGTCAGGAGCACAGTCTGGAAGCAGCCCATGGATGGAGAGACCGGGGGACCTGCCCCGGGCCTGCCCCCGGGCCCCTGCAGAGGCACAGAGGGGATCAGCGAGGGCTGAGAGCTGCCGGCTCCGCTCCTGCTCTGCCTGCCTCCAGGAGAGAACTTAGGCTGGGTTTGGGGCATGGACGGACCCCGCAGCCGGAGTCCCACCAAGGCATCACCTCTCCAGGAAAGATGGAGCCCGGAAGCAGCCCCCATCCATCTGCAGCTGGGGTCTGTGGAGATGCAGAGCATGGAAAATGGGGTTTTCCCCTTACGGAGCTGGAGCAGCGGGAGGGAGTGTGGTTTGACATCAACAACCTGCCCAGCCTTGGCAAGGGAAGGCTGCCTGCTGCTATTTAAATGGAATTGCAGGAAAAGAGACCCAGGGTCTTTAGGAAGCGTACAGTGAAACCAGGACAGGCACCTGATGCAAGTCGCGCCAAGGGAAATCCCATCTAGATACCAGGAAACTTCTTTCCCCCCCTGAGAATGGTAAAATGTAACAGGAGCCCAGAGAAGCTGTGGCATCTCTGTCCTCCACTATACTCAGACCTGGCCTGGTCTCAGTGTCCCCCCACCCTCACAGCATTCAGGGATGCTGAGCAGCATCAGGAGCAGTGGTGCTGAACCCAGCTGCCAAGTTGGCTCTGTTGAAGGGATGCTTCTCAGGGCGGCTGCATGGCATTGCTATGGGCTCTACATATAGTGCCCAGGCAACGCAATGGGGTGTGGGTGAGCTCCCTGGCATTGGGGTGACAGCCCTGACCCCCTCAGGAGTGGGATTTCCCCCTCACCCGGTGAGCTCCTGCAAAGGATGGGGCTGCAGCCACCAAGGAAGAGGAGGAGGAGGAGGGAAAGGGTGGATGGTCCCTCTGGTGACTGGGGAAGGAAGCACCAGCTGCAACTCCAGCAGAGCAAACCTGCCCCAGGGGCTGGCTCAGGATATGCAGGGGGGAAACTGCAAATCTGGGTAAAGCTGCCTGGAGGGAGAAATGAAAGGACCCGGATCCCTCAGGATTAAGGAAGCGCTTGGATCTGGGGTGGTATGTAAAATGCCAGTGCTGGGAGGTACCCCTTGGGAGGCAGGATCCAGCCCAGGGAGGTTCAGGAAGCTCTCTGAAATCCTCTACAACGGGGCCCTTGGCTCAGCTCCTGCCCCAGAGCACGGGGAGCAGGGGAGGCTTTGCCCCAAGCAGGGTGTCAGCAGGCTCCAGCCCGTGGGTGCCAGCCAAGGGCTATGTAACCGTGTCCAAGGCACCACGGAGGCAATTCTTGTGCCCCCCCCCCCCGGCCAGTTGCTGCAGGCACCTCCCTTTCCTCATGGGCCTGAAACGGCGATTTCCTGCGTCCCACCCCAGCAGCCTGCCGGGATGCAGCCAGTCCTGCTTCCCTCCTTGCTCCCTCCCACCCCATCCCTCCTCCCAGCAGAAATCCCTGACACAGGATTCGTTGCTGCAGCATTTGCTGCACAGCATGAGGTGCTGGCACCCCAAACCTCACTCACAAGACAATGCCCACAGCAGGACAGGTCAGGTCCAGCTGCCAGAAATCACCCTTCTGTGGGATTTGTGGGTCTGGGACAGACACAAACAGGATGATGGGTCTGTGCTCAGGCCAGGTTCCATTTCACCCATCTCTCAAATACTGAAGCAAAGCACTGTTGGTGCCACACCATGTGTCTCAGTTTACCTAGCTCACACTGTGGTGAGCACACAGGCATTTTCAGGGTGCGCAAAACCAGCTCCCCTCTCCAGCACTGCTTCTCCTGTGGGCTGAAGTCTCATATCTGATTCCACTTCTCCTTTATGGCTTGGGACTTACATGAGATGGAAGGAAGTCATAAGGGGTCCAGTGATGGAAAGAGGAGTTGCCTCTTTGCCCCCATCCTGCAAGCTTATCCACCCTGTATCCTCTCCCCAGTGGGGCTGGGAGTCACACTGTGTACAGAGATGGGGACCAGCCAGGCAGAGCCCTCTCCCCATCCCAAGATGGGGGCAACTCAGCAGACCCCAGCCTGTCCCCTCTCCAGGATCCTGAGGGGCTGATGCTGGAGTATGGGGGGGGGGGGGGGGGGGGGGTGTCTAGAGAGACATATAGGTGTGGGTGGGCCAGAGCGGGCTGGAGACTGGGGAAAGCTGGGAAGGGACATTGCTTCGGGGGGATGGAGAGGAGAGGGTTGGGGAAGGAACGGGGTGCTGTGGTTTATGGAGGGAGGCAGAAGAAGTGGGGGCACCAGGCATATTGGCTGTAGGGGACATATTGTAGGAATATTTTGGGGGGGGTTGTCCATCGCGGTTGGAGGGTCCATGGCTGGTGGGTGCCTGGGGCACAGGGAGCCCATGGCCCGCGGGGGAGAGCAGCGGGCCCGGTCCGGGGCGGGCTGCGGCGGGGCCGCCCCGAGGCGAGGCGGAGCCGACGGCCGCGCCCGGCGGGGAGCGCGGCGGGGACGGAGCGGCCCCGGAGGATGGGGCGTGCGGAGGCAGGTGAGACCGGGCCGGGCTCCCCGGGCCGGGAGGGGGGAGAGCGCAGCCCCGGGGGTCGCTCGCTGCCCCCTGGGAGCTGCGGGACGTCGGGTGTGAGACAGCCCAGGGCTGGGAGGGAGCGGCGGCGGGGATCCGGGTGCTTTCCATGGGATGCGGCGGGGGGGGGAAGCGTGTTCAATCCGCTGTGGGCTGGAGCTGCGGGAGCGGGAGAGCCGGTCCCGCAGCGCGGTCACTCGTCCGTCCACTCTGCTGTCCCCGCAGGTGCTGGGCTGGGGACCGTGTCGCTGTGGGGCAGCCTCCTGCTCGCTGCCGGCCTTACCCTCGACCCAGCACCGCAAAGCTGCAACTGCACGGAGCCCATGGACTTCCAGGTGTTCCGCGAAGCTCCGCTCACCGAGAGCTGCTGCCTCAACTTCACCAGCTCCAACATCACCCACCTGGACTGGGGAGCACTGGTAGGGGTGCGGGGGCTGCGGGAGCTCTACCTCTCGCACTGCAGCATCACGGACATCAGCAATGCACAAGGAGTCCCCCCTGCCTTGGAGATCTTGCACTTAAGTCACAACCTGCTGGAAAGACTCCCTGGAAGCTTTCTGGAAGATGCCCCTAATTTGAGGGTCCTTTATCTGGACAGCAACCAGCTCCAGGAGCTGCCCAGGTTCTTCCTGAGAGCATCCAACCAGGTCCAGGAAGTCTACCTGGGCTTCAATGCCCTGACTTTCCTTCCCACCAGCCTCCTGAAGCCGTCTCTGCTTCATCTCCAGCTCTCCAACAATAGCTGGGACTGCAGCTGTGCTTTGCTCAGCACCCTGGAGGACTGGCCCAGCCTGGCCGCTGAGGTTATCTGCCACACACCGGAGCGCTACCACGGTGTGGACCTCCAGAGCATCCCCCGGGATGAGCTGTGCCACTCCATCAGCCTCACCGCCCTCTTCATCTGCCTACCCCCTCTCCTCATCCTCGCCATCGTCACCTGGTGCTTCTGCAGGCGGAAGAGAAAGACCAACTACAGCTTTCAGAGCAGGTCCCAGAGCCACCTGGCCACAGCAGAGAGGGGCAATGCACCAGTGCCTGCAGAACCCCACCACTATGTCCCCTACGATCTGCCTGCTGCCCCCTCTGAGACTGAGAAGAAGGTGCTGCTGGGGAGCCAAGTCATGCTCCAGCCCTCTGTGGACGCACTGGACAGCAGCAGGGACCTCTATGAGGAGGTGGAGATCCGGGTGGGATCCCCCAGCATGTCCCAGGTGCCAACCTATGAAGGGCAGCGGGTTACGGGGCTGGGCAGGCAGCGGGACACCCCATCCCCGAGGGCAGAGGAGCTGGGGGGCAGTGATCCAGAGGTGGACACCGTCAGCGTGAGTGAGGTCCTGAAGGACTCAGCTGACCGGGAGAAGATCTACATGAGTCAGTCAACCAACTATTACAACCTGGTACCCGGCATCGAGCTGGAGGACTCAGACAACGTGGAGTATGAGAACATCGACCTGCACTGATAATGGGACTCGAGCTGTGTCTGGGACACAGCAGGATGGAAGAGGACAGCCAGTGGTGAAAGCCAGCACAGCAGAAGAGCCACGAGCTGTCCTGATATGGCTTACAATGGCTGCTTGCAAAGCTGCACTCCAAATCCCCATCCCTTCCCCTGTGCTACCGTGTGCACCCCTCGCTTGCCGTGTGCTACAGCTCAGCAAGGGGTGGTGAGGACACGGGGCAGGCTGGTGGTGTTTGGGGATGCACGGATTGGCAAGTGCCCAAGGAAGGACATGGAGAGGTGGGGGCTAGTTTTGGGGACAAGGTGACAATACTGTGTGTGCCAGACTCACTGACTGACCCTCCATCCTCTCTTGGTGTAGCCAAACGGGATCTGGCATGGACTTACTGCTCCCCAGCCTGCAGAGAACAGGGTCTGGGGACATGAAATGGGGCTGTCTGTGCCTACATGGTCTGTGGGGAGTGTCATACATGGTTGGGTGCCCTGCCTGCTGCACACCCCACATCCTGCAGTGTCCCATGGGGGCTAGAAACAGCTGGTGCATGTGTGCTGCTGCATGCATGGGTGTGCATGCACATGTGTGTGCAGGGACTCTGCACAGTTAGCTGTGAGTGGGTGTGCAGGGTGCACAACATGCACACAGGGAAGCACTGGAGGGGGCCCCTTGCAGCATCCCCTGCTCACTGTGCTCCCAAGCCCTGTAGGATCCAGCTCTCAGTAAGAAATAAATCATTTTACTCCTGGCAGTGTGGCTCCATCCCTGTGTTTGTGTGGTTTGGGGTGGTGGGGAGCCATCTGATGGAGGGAAGTGTAGGGATGGGGGGCTTTGCTCCCACACCATACACCCTCCCATGCTCTGTGTGATGCTCCACTGTGGGTCTCATTCAGATGCCCCGGGGCCACTTTGCCAACAGAGCTGGACCCTGGCTGAGGGCGAGCAGAGCCTCTGCCTTGGCGCCGTGATTTACAGCCAGCTGGGGAAGGTGTCAGCCTGTTGTAAACGCTGCAGTTCCTGGCCAGAACAGGGACTTGTGGGGCTCCTGGGAACGGGGCAAAGGCTGGGGATGCTGTAAATCACCCCCCTGCACAGGCACTCCCCAGCAAGTCTCACCCATGGGTGCCTCAGCCCTTCCCTGGGGATGGGGGGGATGCAGCTGCCCTTGAGCCCCGTCCCTCCTGCCCAGGGGTACGTTTCCCAGCTGGAAGCCCCAGCAGCCACCCTGCACCGCACTGGAGCAAGCCTGGGCCCGGGGCGGGCGCTGTGCCCGGGCAGGAAGGGAGGGAGCCGGGCAGGGCAGGACGCGGCGCTCCGGCCGGCAAAGGAAGCTGCGCTTCCTGCAGCGCACAGCGCGGCCTCCTGCAGCCCGTGGTGGGCCCAGGCACAGGCGCGGGCAGTGCTCAGCACCAGTGTGGGCTGGGCATGAGGATGCGATGGTTTCCCTGCGTGTCTCGCTGTCACTTGTAGATGTTTACTGCTGGTTTATATCCCCCTGGAATTGTTCCCTCCACACCCCTTCCCCAGCCCTGGGAAAGTGGCCCAGTGCCAGCCTTTAATGTCCCTCCATCACACCCTGTCACGTACTGCAGCCACAGCATCCCGGTGTGCCCTGCCTTGTGCCATTCCCAAGGGACTTGGAGGGACCAGGAGGTTCCTCGGTGCCAGGCAGGACTCCGCCAGCCCTCCCCAGGGGCTGCAGCCTGGCCCATGGCCGCAGGCACCGCCTGTAGCTGGCAGCAAGGACTCAGGCAGTGATGGGCACATTTTTCACCCATGCTCCAGACACATCCTGCAGCCCTCCCTGTGCTGGTTCTGCCTGCACATTCCGGGGTCCCATTCCCAGGGCAATGCAACCCTTGGTCCTTTCCTCTTGCCATGGAGCCTAAACTCAGCTGCCATGGCTGCAAAGGGGAATGACCCAAACCATGCCACTGAGTGCTGCCCAGCCCTGTCTCTGATGCCCCCAGCTCCCACTGCAATCTCCAGCCATGACGGGTGTCAGGGAGGTGTGACCGACCTGGAGTTCCCTGTTCTGTGCCTCTGACAACCCCAATCCATCATGGGGAGGGTTCAGCTGTGTGGGCCCACGCTGGGGTATTTAGGGGAAGAAGCAACAGCACTGGGTGCAGGCAGGTGTGGGAAGGGCAGGGTTGGTGTATGGGCGAACCTGCTGATGGGCCATAGAGCTTGGGGTGGGAGCAAGTGCATGTGCCCAGGCCCTGCAGCCTGGACAGTGTTGGGAACCCCAGTTCTCCTCAGTTTAGCCAGCAGCCACTGAGGGAAGGTGCGAGGTGCAGGGCTGAGCTGCAATGACCGTCTCCTACACACTGAAAGTTGCCAACTCCCGCTTTGGAGGTTTCTCCAAGCTGCTCTTCCGCTGGAAGGGCAGCATCTACAAGCTGCTGTACAAGGAGTTCATCGTCTTCGCGGTGCTGTACACCATGCTCAGCATCATCTACCGGTGAGCAGGGTCAGGGTGTTGGTTGTGTCGGCTCCATGGTGACCCACTGGGGTGTGCAGAGATGCCCCACTGGTCATGGACTGGGGTCCCTGCAGGGAGGGGAAAAGCCCAAGGGATGTCCTCAGGGAAGCTGGGGTTGGGCAGGGGAGGGAAAGCAGAATGGGAATCAGGCAATGTTTTTTCATAGAGGTCCGAGGCAGAGACCCAGCCCCACCACTTGCACCTGACCCCACTGCATGTCTCTGATCCCACTGCATGTCCCTGACCCTGCTCCATGCCCTTGACCCACTGTGATTCTGTTGCAGGCAGCTGCTGACCAAGGAGCAGAAGCGCCTCTATACCAAAGTGGCTCAATATTGCAATCGCTCCACAGACCTCATCCCCATGTCTTTTGTCCTAGGTATGGGTCCCTCCCCTGAACACAGGAGTTGGGCTCCCCTGCTCCCCCGTGGTGCTGGTGGCTTAAGACCATCCTGCCCCACACCAAAACATCCCTTGAACACCATTGGTTGGGGGATGTTGGAGCCTGGCACCCCAGGGGTGGCACTTGGCTTCCTGACCCACCAACCACAGCTCCCTGACCCAGGGATGCCAGTGGGAGGCTGTGATTTCCCCTGGCATGCCCTGCACCCTCTTCCCCCTGCCCAGGAAAGGGGTACCTTATCTACAACACATAGAATCATAGAATGGTTTGGGTCCAAAAGGACCTTAAGATCATCAAGTTCCAATGCCCCTGACATGGTCAGTGGCACCTCGCACTAGCCTGTGTCACCCAAGGCTCTGTCCAACCTGGCCTTGAACACTGCCCTGGCCTTGAACACATTCCCTGAGCCACCTGCACCCAGGATAAGGAAGAGCCAGGGACATCCCCATCTCCATCCATGGGAAGGGCAGCCCAGTGGGAAGCCTGATGTGCACTTTATCTCCTGGCCACAGATAAATCTATCACTCCTGAAAACGTGGCAGCTCTCCTGGTACAGGCTCATCTTCACCTTGTCCCATTGCCCAGCCACTCTGAGCCCCGTGTGCTGTCTATCGGTGCAGGTTTTTATGTGACCCTGGTCGTGAACCGGTGGTGGGCCCAGTACACCAGCATCCCCCTGCCCGACCAGCTCATGTGCGTCATCTCCAGCAACGTCCATGGCAAGGACGAGAGGGGCCGGATCCTGCGGCGTACCCTCATCCGCTATGCCAACCTGTCAGCAGTGCTCATCCTGCGCTCCGTCAGCACCAGGGTGCTCAAGCGCTTCCCCACCATGGACCACGTGGTGGAAGCGGGTGAGGACTTCAACCCTGGGCTAATGGTTTGTAATATGGGGTGAGGGTTGGGGTCCACAGGTGTGTCCCTGTCACCAGGAGGGTGTGCTGGGGATCCTTACAAACATCCCTGTCCTAAACAGTCCCACGCACAGGGTGGCACCCTTGCATGGATACTCAATGCCAAAGAGCCCCATGTCCCCTCTGTCCAGAGCCTGTCTCCTAGGGCTTTAGTTTCACCTGGAAAAGCCTGTGTTCACAGTGGGAACAGTCCCCAGAAGGGCTCTCCCCCATTGACAGGGGAGCCTGTTCTCTGCCACAGGTTTCATGACACAGGATGAGCACAAGAAGTTCGAGAGCCTCCACTCCGACTTCAACAAGTACTGGATCCCCTGCGTGTGGTTCACCAATCTGGCTGCCCAGGCCAGGCAGGATGGCCACATCCGTGATGATGTGGCCCTCCGCCTGCTCATGGATGTGAGTTGGCACCAGGGATGCGGGAAGGACCAGGTTTTGTGGAGGGCTCACACAAAGCCCTGGTCACCCGTCCTTGTCCTCTCCGCCCAGGAGCTGAATCTCTACCGGGCCAAGTGCAGCATGTTGTTCCATTACGACTGGATCAGCATCCCCTTGGTGTACACACAGGTGGGTACCCATGCATCCCATGGGCACCAGGAGCTCAGATCTCAGCTCCTTCCACCCCACAATGGCAGAGGAGCCCCACAGCCTCCTCCCTCCACTCTGATGGGGAGCACTTTACTCCCCTATTGAACTGGGTGGCACAGCCACTGGTTCACAGCCCTGAGGGATGTGCAGGAGCCCAGGTTTTGCCTTAAGCCCATGAATGCATCAGTGACTGGCTGAGCTCTCATATACTCACTTCTGTGCCGAGCATCCCTGCTGGCTGCCACCCTCACTGTGGCTGACCCTTGCTCCCTGCAGGTGGTCACCATCGCTGTCTACTCCTTCTTTGCCTTCTGCCTCATCGGGCGGCAGTTCCTGGAGCCACTAGAGCCAGGGCAGGAGGGGGACCTGGACATGTACATCCCTCTCTCCACCCTCCTCCAATTCTTCTTCTATGCTGGCTGGCTGAAGGTGAGACATGGACAGGCTTTGCTTTATGGGTTGAGGTGGCCCTGAGCACCCCATGTCACTGCTGGCTACCCTTGGGGACACATCCTTTGTCCCAGCCATCAAACTGGGGCACCATGGAGCTCCAGATCTACATATTTCATGTGTGGACCCCATGGGTGGACCAAGGGATGGAGAGCACCATGGGAAGATGTCGCTGTCCTTGCTGCCCTGGCCCCCTTCCTCCGCAGGTTGCAGAGCAGATCATTAACCCCTTTGGAGAAGATGATGATGACTTTGAGACCAACAAGCTGATAGACAGGAATCTGCAGGTGGGTCCTGCCCCAGCTTACGCTGTGTGTGGCTGCTGAAATCAGGGCAAAGGGAGCTCCCTGTCCACAGGGGCAGCTTCTGGACACACATGTCCTTGTCCAAAGTAGATCCCCACACAGGGAAGCAGGACTGCACCTTGTCCTTCCATCCCTGTCCCTCTGTATCTACTCCCCATGGCTGAATCAGCACCCCCGAGGGATACTCAGCAGCCTGGCACTGCTGCTCAGCCCCTCACTTCTGAAAACAGCATTCAGAAGAGGAAAACCTCAAATGCAGCCAAGAGATGGGCATGGAGCCTCTCTTACCCCTTGCAGGGCCCAGCCCTACCCCTGCCAGGTTGGCACCAGGAGCAGCATCTGCATCCCTCATCTCCTTGCAAAGCCACCCCTGCCCCATGCCTTTGCTGTGCCCAGGTGTCCCTGCTCTCGGTGGATGACATGTACCAGAACCTGCCCCCGGCCGTGAAGGACAAATACTGGAACGAATCCACAGCTCAGCCCCCCTACACAACAGCCACAGCCGCTGAAACCTTGAAGCCCTCATTCCTGGGCTCCACCTTCGACATGCGGTGAGTGAATGGGGATGGAGAAGGGTGAGTGCTTCAGTGTGGCAACAGCACAAACAGGTTGTCCACCTGGGCCCTATTATAGCGATCAAATAGCAACCGCCCCCCCCGGGAATGCATTGCCCAGCCCCTGCAGGATGCATTGGGTGATGGATGTGCTGCTGGGGCAGGGATGTGGCCTCCCGGGGCTGTTCCCTGCATTGGGATGGAGGCAGCGAGTGGTGCTGCGGAGGATGGCAGCCTGTCCCCTTCATCCCGCAGCATGTGTGAGGGCACAGAGCAGAGCCAGCCCATGGAGGCCTTGCTGGCTGTGCCGTGCATCCAGACACCTCTCCTCAGCCGCTTCTTCACTGCTGCATCCCCTGCCATCAGCATCAAACACTTGGGCCGGGGCCCCCGAGTTCACCCCCACCTGCAGCAGCCCCAGGCAGATGGTGGCTTTCCCTCCCCGCATCCCAGCCGTGCTGGGGACCCTGAGGCTGTGGCCTGCATCAAGGAGGAGATGGAGGATGACAGCCGGGCCAGTGAGACCACCATGGCTGGTTGGTCATCTGGAGGGGAACAGGCCACTGGAAGCCTCTGAAGTACAGAGGAAGGAGCTGCCACTGGTCCAGGTGAAGGCACCATCCAGTGATGGCACTGGGGCTGATCAACAAGAGGCCTCGGAGCACCAAGGCTGCCCTAAAAGTGTCCCTTTTCCTGAGGCAGAATAGCTGCCCCCAATCCAAGGTACTCCTCAGACACTCCCTTCAGATTCCCTGTCCAGAAGCAGGGCATTGCTACCCAGCCCTGAGCCAAGATGTGTTCCCAGGTTGATGGGAAATTCCTGGTGGGTTTGGGATAACAGCCTTCAACACTTGCTGTTAGCCCCAAAACTGCAGGATTCAGCCCATCTGGGTGATGATGCTCCCAGCTTGCTGGCCAGGCTCACTCCCTGCTCCCATGGCAGGGGATGGGGACAACCCACACCTCAAGCAAGGGATGGGATGAGGGCAATTAGTCTTGCAGAAAACCAACACCGTGATGGGTATGTCCCCTTAATACTAATAAAGTTATCGCCAGCCTCAGCTTTGAGTTTATCCCTTGTTGGTACAAGTCACCCCCAGCAGTGAGACAGCAGGGACACTGCATTTATTCACAAAGTGGGTGAACTGGATTTTACCCATTTTATTTTTGTATTTAATGTGCACATTTGTATTTAATATATATGCACATTCTTCTGGGGTAAAAGGGGCACAGCCCCAAGGACTGACAGCAGTGATGGTTGTGGGGTATTAGACCAAGTGATACCATCAGAAAAAAACCCAGATTGATGCTTTCAGCCTCTGTAGAAGGATTCCTGCACTCAGAAACATGTGTTTCTCCTGAGAACATCAGCAGAACTGTCAAATAATTCCCTTTCCTGTAAGCCTCCCTTTCCAAAAGCCACTTTTCCTTTAAAGCTCCCATTTTCCCGCAGCAAACCAGCCTCAATGCTCTTTTGCTACCCTCCAGGCTACTGCTGGATTAGTTAAAGGGTAACCATGAGGTTATTTTCTGGGTCGGACAATTTCCTGTGAAAATACCCCAAAGTTAATACTGCATGGAGCTGAGTGAGCTACTCAGCAGCAAGGAGCATCACTCAGGATGACGAGTGACCTCACGTGGGTTTCACTGCTGGTTGCTTATTGTGTAACTCATCCCTCACAGGTATTTGCAGAAGTGGGCAAGGTCCTTAGATCAGGCTTTGTCGCCTCATAAACCCAGCCAGGCTAAAGCTGTGCTTAACCTGGCTCAGTGCACAGCAGGTTTGCCTCCTCCCAGGTGGGTAAATCCCTGTGCACATCCATGGGACTATGCCAAGGCCAAACCAGAAGCCATACATCCTGTGGTCAAATCACACAGCCTGTACCACCGTGGGAGCAAGCTGCCACCATCCCATTCCTGTGTCACACCTACAGCACGGCTGGAGCAGGCAATAGGAGCTTTCATTCCCACAGGTTCCTGCCCTTGGCAGCTATGTTTTTCAGAGCAATAACTTCATAAGCAGCGTGCACTGATGAATTAGTCATAATCCTGTGCATCAGGAGACAGGTTTACAGTTCCTGCACTGACACAGAGTTGGCATTTGCTCCGTAAGCATCAGTTTCTCCATCTGTACAAAGTCCTGCAGAAACACCCTGAATCCTGTCTGTGTTCTATGGAGGGGAGAGAAGAAACACACTCAGAAGAAGCAGCCGTGACAGATACCCCTTTATCGCCTCTGCCCCACCTCTCTGAAAAGCACGCGTTGCTGGAGAGCAGGGAAAGTTTTCCCCAGATCACTATGGAGAAGGAATGTGGTTGTGCAAACTTCCCACCCAGCCCAGGTCCCGCTGCCAGCACTCCAAAGGCATTGCTGGGCATGGCTCTGCTGTCAGTGCCCACAGGAGCACACATTCAAGCCACATGTACCCACCATGGCATAACCATACTGCTGCTGCCACCCAGGAAACAGGTACTGCTTGCTGGTGTGGTTAGTGTGTGCCTCCATCTTCAGCCCAGACCCGTTCTCGGCTTCCTGCCAGCAAGGCAGGATGAACTCATGCTGCTAGGGATGCCTCAGCCCGCCAGCACCTCCTGCTGCCACACACAGCAGCTGGGGCAGAAAACCGTACGTAAAACAAAAAATACCAAGCACAAGCTCTTTGTGGGGCAGATAGCCTGCATTTTAAGGCACTAGAGACATGGGTCTCACCATAGGGCAGAGGGCTGGGTCTTGCACTTGGGCCACACCTGGGGGTGCTGATTGATGGCTGCTGAACATGAGCCAGACAGTGCCCAGGCAGCCAAGGTGGCCAACAGCATCCTGGCCTATATCAACAATGGTGTGGCCAGCAGGGTCAAGGCAGTGATCATTCCCCATTACTCTGCATTGGCGAGGCTGCACCTCAAATCCCGTGTTCAGTTCTGGACCCTCACTGCAACAGATATTGAGCTGCTGGAGCGGGTCTAGAGAAAGACATCAAAGCTCATGAAGAGTCTGGAGCACAAATCTGACAAGGAACAACTGAGGGAACTGGGGTTGTTTAGTCTGGAAAAGGCTCAGGGGGAACCTTATCGCTCTCCACAGCTACTTGAAAGGAGGATGGAGGGGAAGTGGCTGGTCTCTCCTCCCAAGTAACAAGCAATAGGACAAGAGGTAACAGCCTCAAGTTGCACCAGGGAAGATTTAGATTGGACATTAGGAACAATTTCTTCCCCAGAAGAGCAACCAGGCATCAGAACAGGCTGCCCAGCGAGGTGGTGGAATCACCATCCCTGTAAGTGTTCAAAAACCCTGTAGATGAGGCCGCCAGTGACACGATTTAGTGGTGGACTTGTCAATACTGAGGTAATCACTGGACTTGATCTTAAAGGTCTTTTCCAACCTAGTTGATTCTATAGGTAGCCTGCTTTACACCAGAACATTCCTACAAATAATTAAGGCTTCTGTAATATACAAGCAGTGTGAAGCATGCAACGTGCACACTCAGCAGGCGTAAGATGTGCAAGCCTGGCCTTTCCCTGCAGCCCCAGGATCAGCCTTTTAGATGGGCTCCCAACTTCACCCTGATACCTGCACAAATAATTTCACGATTAGATGCAGGACTCCATTGTGACAGCTTTCTTTAAAGGCATCAATTACAAGGAATGACACTGAAGGCACCGAAACGTCCAGAAAAGCTTTTGTTCATCACTGCTTTCCAATCCCAGCACATGACAGGGCAGAAAGCTGGAGGTTGTACCCAGCGTTCGAAAGGGACAGACCATGGTGCGAGCCTGGCCCTTCTGCTAGAAGGAGTTTCTCTTGCACTGCAATGAGACCAAGGAGGTCAGGGAAAGGCCAGTTGGTCACTGAGCAGTGCAGCAAGTGTGGCTAGAAGACTCTCCCCTCCTGAGGCAGCAGGGCCCGTTCCCCCACTGACCTCACTCTAAAACCCCAAGCATGGCTTTGCTGACCTACACAACAGGAAAAGGGGTGGGGTGGGGTGGTGGTACATGTGCCCAGCCAGTGCCCCATGGACATTTACACCTTCCTCCTGCTTGCAGGCTTCCAGTAATGGAAATCCTCTACTTGTCCAAGTCTGACAGCTCTTCCACACCCACTTGGTCCATGAAGTCACTGTCCCAGAACCCAAGGAAATGTTTCAGTCGAGAGCACGCAGGGTCAGAGCTCGCCTGAAGACACACAGGCACTCAGAGATTCCAGGAGAGATCCTTCTTTCCATTTTGCAGGCAGGAGGAGCTACACAAGCCCCCTCCACCCTGCCCTAACAAATGAGCACACAACCCTTTACTGTAGGGCAGACTCTTGGTTTTATTCGTTCTCTCGGCAGAACAGTTTTTATTCATTTGCCTTTTCTGGCCTTGATCTTCCTCAAGTAGAACTCCAGTTCCTTGCCCTCCAACACATAGCCATCAGCTCGGCCACACTGTCCAGGTCTGGAGGCAATGCAGGCTGCAAGGAGAAGTCATCAATTAACACTTCACCACCCCAGCAGATACACCAGCTGCAGGAAGCACTGCATGCAGTCTCTGCGCAAAAGCAGGGACCAGAAAAGTTACCAGTAATGGATACGCCAGTTCCCGTGCTGGCTTCAGTACCTCCTCCTAAGGTACCAACCCTGCTCCTGAACCTGCTCTGCTGGGCAGAGTTCCTAATGAAGTCCTCTTCAGATCTCCAAACTGTCATCGCTCAAGTTCAGTAGCAGAACTGGACAAAGGTCTCATCACCAGAAGACTTCAGAACACAGAATTATTTCTGTCTGAACTCAAACCTGGTCAAAGCTGTTCTGTGATTGCAGGACATTTTTCTGACAGTGCAGCCCATGGGTCTTTTTGCTTGTTTTGCAAGTCTCAAGCCCTATTATTTTTCTCAAAGGCCAACTAGGAGCCTGGCTGGGAATGTTGCCATTCAAGCTCCAGAAACAGATTTCCCCCCTCCTGACAAAATCAACGTGTTTCCAAAGAAGGTAAAAGAAAAATTAAGACCCAAAAGATACTCCTGACGATAAAGGGAACACCCTGCTGCCTTAACCCTGCAGTCAGCTTTATCATAGCAAGTAGAACTTTAAATGATCCAAAGATGAGGAATACGACCTGCTCTGGTACCCCGATTCCCTTATCCCCATCCACATCAAGCTGCCAGAGACTCACCAAGCAGTTTTCCTTGCTGGAACTGCTCCTCAAGAATACTTGCAATCTTGGCATTCTTCTTTCGCTCGTCGTATTTTTTCTGGATCTTCTTTGAGCGCTTCTTGTTCAAGATTTCCTCCTCTTCAGGAGTCTAAAAACAAGACCATAAGCAAAACCAAGGTTAAATACATGGCCAACTTCAGCTAATGCAGGTGGTCCCCACAAATACAAAGGAGACCCTTGTATTCTCAGCCTGTACCACAAGTCATACCTGGCAGAGGCACAAATAGCTCACCCTCACAGAACCAGGTGCTGTGTTTCTTTTGAGGCTAAGAAATGCAATGTTGCTCACTAGAGTCACTGCTGACAACAAGGCACAGCGTCCTAAGGAAGGGTGCTCTTAAGGCTAAATAGAATTGCAAAGGTTTTCTTGATGAATTAATCGTCCTCCAAAAAGAGTGAATGCTCTTTCCCTCTCCAGACATAATGGGAGCACTTGGGTGCGGTGTGAATCCGGGCAGACAGGTTATGAGCTATCCCAGTGCTGCTGAACTACGCAGTGCTCAGGTAAGAAGTGCTTTGCTCTAAATGCAAGGAGACAGCCGTAAGCTGAGTGCTACACATAGAGGTTTGAGCAACTTCTGTTAAGTCTGGAATTTGGATCTTCAACAAATTACAATGAGTCTGGACAGTTTAAAGCCAGTTAAAACAGTGCTGAAGTTCAGTTAGCAATCCACAAGCTTCTCATCAAAGCCATCATTTCCCAGCACAAGGACCTGACCTGCAAAGTCTTCCTCAGCATCATACAAGTGTCATCGCTCTCCTTTCAGTAGCAGAACTGGACAAGGGTATCATCATTAGAAGACCAAAGAGATTGACAGGCAGGTCCTTGTGCACAAACAGGTGCAATGCCTGAGAGAGCTCTGTGGTACTGGGCACTCCATGAACTGGGAATGGACAGGAACATAGCCCAGATAACCAGTGCTGTCACTGACAGGTACCCAATCCTCATCTGTCAGGCACTGCCCGCTCACCACAGCTAACTGCCTCTTCCCAGGCAGACTCCAGTCTGCAAGGAGGCCAGATGACAGTCCAGACATACCAGTTTGGCACCCTTCTTGCGTCCGAGGGGCAAGGCATAGTGGGCTTCATACCACTGCCGGTATGGGGTGCTGTCAACCAGCACGATGCAGTTCTTCACCAGGGTCTTTGTCCGCACCAGTTCATTGTTGGAAGCATTGTAGACGACATCGATGATTCTGGTTTTGCGAGTGCAGCCTTTCAAAAGAAGAGTATGAATTCAAACCTACAGGGATCAGACAACTGAGAATACAGTCCACAGCATCTCTCACTCACCACCCCACCAAACATCCCCCAGCTTCCCTGGCACTGAATTAAATTTGACAAAGGAAAATGTATTTATGTAAAATGTATTTATTTTTCATCAGTCCAACTTCCTGTTGTTGCTAGGACAACACCTGGAAACTCATTCATCCCAGGATGAAACACTGGCATCTCTTTGCTTCTGCTGTACTGCCTATGAGCAACAGCACTTTTCACTGTTCAGACAATGCTCCGTGCTGACCAGGGAAAAACCATGTCCTTTCACCCTTACACCATGCTGGCCACCACCTTTCTTACTGGTGGTTTGACCATCATACTGAGTAATGCTGAACAGGCCAGGCTCAAGTTGTATAGTTTCAGTCTGCAATTAAAGAAAATCCACCTTGCTTCAGACTCACCTTACAGCAGACCCCCCTGTTGCTTCAGTGCTTCCCACTTTTGCTTAGCAAAGCAAGAATACGAATTAAACTGCATGTGCTGATGTAACACTGTTCCAGGGGAAAGCCTTCTCTGAAAAAATCCTAAACACCTTACTCTACTGTACATGATCACCTAACTTTTAGTAAGTGCTCACCAATAAACAAAAAGAAAGTTGCATTTATGAAGAACTACTTGCATTTAGGCGTTTTGCTCCTCTGGCCAGTAAAAAGGTAATGCAAGCATGTCACTCAGTGTAACTATGACACTCCTATCACGGTGAATTTAGAAGACATCCAAGTCTCCTAAGGCCACATAAGGTCAAAGTTATCATCATTATGCATGCTGTTTCAGACCCAGCACTCAAGCTCCATGATCTTCAAACCCAGCCTAAAAATCTGTACATACATTATTGTCCCTCTGCTCTGCAGCAGTACCAAAAACCAGCACAGCTGTAGTACACTTTTCAACACATTAGGTTCATGACATACTTACATTCCGATCCCCAGGAGAAGTTGCCAACATCCAACCGTAGGGCACGGTACTTCTTATTTCCACCACGAACTCTCACTGTATGAATCCGGCGAGGACCAATCTACAGTGGGAAACAAACACCAGGGTGGTATTGGTGCTGGAATGCTGCACAGCTCACGCAAGAGCCCAGCCAACTCCTAACCTCAAAGGCAATGTGGTCAGTGTAACTATGACAAACCCCAGCACTGGCAGATACAGTAAATGACCAAAACGGTCTGTTGCATCTACCTAAGGTGAAAGTTTCATCACTCCAATTGCCTCTTAGTGCAAAAATGTATTGCTGCTTTTCACTGGCATAGAGGAAAATACTACCTTTTAAAGGAGTGACAGACATTTAACCAGTCACAGAACACAGTATATACTTAAGTCTCTAACAACACACAACCAGCAACCTGAGTCTGAAAGCACAACTATTGATCACCCTCCCCTAACTACCCACCTTCGTGTTGGCAGGAGGTCGCCCCAACTCATACTTCCTCTTCTTGTGGTAGGGCTTCCTCTTGCCCCCAGTCTTGCGGCGCTTATGCCAGTTGTCCCTGGAGATACCTGAATGGAGAGCAGCATGGTCAGAAGATGATAGCAAGGAGCCCACCTGGCCATAGCAGGGCACAGTTCTGAGTCCTCAGCTCTCCAAGGTTGGTATCCGCACAGTGCACTCGGCCTTATGCAGCAGTTAGAGAAGCTTCATCATTGATACTCAGATCCTCCCTCCCAACAGGGCTGTACAAAGCAGACTGGCACCACCATGTCCTATCAGTGTCTCCCTTGGAAAGCAGCCTCCAAACCTACCTTGTTTGCTGGGCACCCTATGCGAAACATCCCATTCCGAGCTGCCAGGCACACTACAGCAAACATTCCGTGCTATCCACTATGTTTGGCATACCCTTTATGGGAAGCAACCCCCCTCCCACCTGTACACTGAGCCCGAACAAGAGATGCCCCATCTCAAGCCTGTTTCTACAGGAACTATCTCTCCAGAGGACCCCACCTCCCGGGTCCCGTCCCCCCCGGCCAACTTGCAGAGCCCTTCCCGAGGTCACTCCACACCCCTCCTCTGTTACCCCCAGGGAGCCACCCCACCTCATCCGCAGGATTCCCTGCGGAAGGCGCAGAGAAAAGACCTCAGAGATTAGGACCTGCAGGAATCCAAAGCGAAACCGTCAGCCCGCCCCCCCCTCCGCCCCAGTCGCCATGTTGGGCCTAGGCAGCCTCCTGCCGCCAGCGGCTCGGTGCCGTCGCGGCCACCAAAGATGGCGGGCGCTGCAGGGTGGCGGCACCCCCCGCTGTCACCCGGTAGGGGACAGGGGCGGGCAGGAGCGGCGCGGCGAGCAGATGGCGGCGGATGGCGGGCGGGCACGGCAGCGGCCCCTACTCACCCATGGTGCGGCACCGGCGCAAAGAGGAGGGGCGGCGCCTCCGGGGGCGGTTTGGCGGGGAGAGCTCTCGCGAGGCAGTTGCGTCACGGCGCCGCCAGCGCGCCGTTGCCTAGCGACGAGGCGGCGGCGGTGATGGCGGAGGGGGGGGGGGTGTGATGGCGAGGCCCGGTCTCAGCCTGTGTCAGCCCTGGGACACCGGCTGCAACGAGGGGTCCAGCCTCGGAACGGGAGCATGGTCCGCAGGTCCTGCCCCACGGGTCACCTCACGAACGGGACCGGCCGGGCAGGGGGAGCAGCACCACCGGGCTGCGGCTGCGCTCGGCAGAGCAGGTGGAGGCGCCTCATCATCATGTGGGGCATGGAGTCACAGAATGGTTTGGGTTGGAAGGGACCTCAAAGCTCATCCAGTTCCAACCCCCTGCCACGGGCAGGGACACTTTCCACTAGACAAGGTTGCTCCAAGCGCTGTCCAATCTGGCCTTGAACACTGCCAGGGATGGGGCAGCCACAGCTTCTGTGGGCACCCTGTGCCAGCGCCTCAGCACCCTCACAGGGAAGAACTTCTGCCTAAGAGCTCATCTCAGTCTCCCCTCTGACAGCTCAAAGCCGTTCCCCCTTGTCCTGTCACTACATGTCCCTGTAAAAAGTCCCTCTCCAGATTTCTTTTAGCCCTCTTTAGTACTGGAAGGCTGCTCTAAGGTCTCCCTGGAGCCTTCGCCAGGCTGAACAAGCCCAGCTCCTTCAGCCTCTCTCCATAGCAGAGGTGCCCCAGTCCTCCTCTGGGCTCGCTCAAACAGGTCCACATGCTTCCTATATTAACGCCCCAGAGCTGCACACAGTACTCCAGGTGGAGCCTCATGACAGCGGAGTAGAGGGGAAAAATCCCCTCCCTCAATCTGCTGGTCACGCTCCCTTTGATGCAGCCCAGCTCACGGTTGGTTTCTGGGCTGTGAGCTCACACATGCTCATGTTGAGCTTCTTCTCCAGAGGGCCGCCCTGAATCCATTCTCCGCCCCATTTCATTACTATTCAGCCTGATTTGCAAACCCAGGGTGCACTGCGGATCAGCGCCGCGGACACGGTCGTACTTTCCCCCCTCCCGCCGGGCCGCCGCGGTTCAAGCGCGGAACTGAGCCGTGTACGCCGTCGGAGAAGACCGAGACGGGCCATAGCGGCGGGGATCGGGCAGGCGTTGCGGGATCGCTGTGTGCCACAGAGCGACAGCTGGGGGAGGCTCCGTGTGCGCGGAACAGCTAAGGCATACTCTGGTTTCTCTTCAGATCGTATAAATCTTTCGCCTTTTACTAAAGATTTCCGTGGAGAGGAACAAGCACGAGTGTCGAGGAATTTTTTGAGGCTCCATTTCGGTGGAGCTGACCCTATTCTGGTTAAAGACAGAACAAACGCGTTACACAGTAACTCCAATCAGAGTCCGGAATGCTACAGTTTTTCCAGCTGGTGTCGCAGTGCTGTGAACTGCGGGAAAGCGCGCAGGATGGGCGCTGATCGGGGAGCGGCTGGAGGTTGTTTTGGTGTACATCGCTTGTCGTGCTTGGGTTTTATTTCTCTGTATTGTTTTCCTTACAACTGGTTACATCTTTCTTAGCTCGTTAGAATTATTGAGCTTGCATCTCAACCCATGACTTTCGCACTTTTACCCTTCCTGTTCTTCCCCCATCCATGCGGGGTGGGTGGGACCAAGCAGGTGGGCGACCGGTTGTGCGGCGGGTGCTCGGTACCGGCCGGGGTAACACCGCACGGGGAGACACAGGCTCTGATCGGGGCGCGGACCGAAGGCGGGATCGGGATAGGCGGAGCTGACCTCGGCCCCGTCTGCCGGCCCGCGCAACCGCCTCATTGAATAACCTGGCCTAGTGGATGGTGTCCCTGCCCATGGCAGGGGGCTGGAAATGGATGAGCTTTAGGGTTTCTCGCAATCCAAACCAGTCTGTGACTCTCCGAGTCATTATCATGCGCCTCATCAGCACTCCGTTAATTTGCATACCCAGAGCCCACCGCGGCAGCGCGGCGCTGCCCGGAGCCGCCGGTGTCCGCTGCTGCGGCCGATCCGAGCTGTTTGGGTCTGCACGGCTCCGGTGGTCGCGGCGGGGCCACGTCGAGAGCCACAGCTCCGGGAACGGGCAGGTATCGCCCTGAGCTATGTGTCGCAGGGCAGGCGGGCGGTGTGGCGCG